CTTACCTGTATGCACAAGAATCTATACTGGGATTGGACTAATATTCACTCACGTTTGTATCCTCTTCCTTTATCTTGTCCAGTGTTTGAGGAGCCAGAAGATCCCAGTAATCGCTCCTTCTTCTCTGAGATCATATCCTCAATCTCAGATGTCAAGTTTAGCCACAATGGACGCTACATGATGACCAGAGACTACTTGTCTGTGAAGATTTGGGATCTGAACATGGAGAGCAGGCCAGTGGAGACCTATCAGGTGAGAATGACAAACGCATGCACAGTAACAGTGTGTGGTGCCGGCCTTGTTACACAAGTCAAGTGTAAACAGGTTATGAGTTATTTCATTCGCACTGGATTAATGTCATTTGAAGTCACGCTGCATAGTGTAGAGCATCAGGGATCCAGTAGGCCAACACTTTGAATGACAGTCCTCGGTTATTTTGTAACATTATCTGTGCTGTAAGAATCTCATGTTAGTGATATTATACTATCAGCAGCATCAGAGACTAGTGTCTTCTTTTATTTTTTTAATTTTTTTAAGCAACCACACCTTGTTTTGAATCATTACTTGTAATTTCACATGGTGACCACTAGGAGGCACCATACATATGTGGTTTTGCTGTGTACTGGCTTTTGTACAGAAAGAAGTTTGCCCCATTGTGATAAGCTTCTAAATAATGTAAGCACATACGTAGCTTATGTGTAGGATTGGTTTAGGTAAGTTAATCCAAACAGTGGTAAGATCTTTCACTGTGGATATTTGTGTCTAAAGGTAGCTCCTTCACACCTGCCTTTGATCCTTACAGGTTCATGAGTACCTGAGGAGCAAGCTGTGCTCGCTCTACGAGAATGACTGCATCTTTGACAAGTTTGAGTGCTGCTGGAATGGCAATGACAGGTGAGGACATGCAGGGGACAGACCAACGTATCACCTCACGGAAAAGAGTTGAACTTTAGAGTAGCTCTGTCTCTGCTGCTGCCTGTTATCTGTGTTTGGAATATTTTAATTTTGAGGGTTTTTTTGCAAATTCGTGCAAAGATGACTTGACCTCCAAAGCTCTGTTAATCTTTTAATGTAATTAGACTAAACTGTGTGCTGATTGCAACACCTACTTTGTATAGTTGACCAATTGTTTTACTTTTAAATTTAATTTAACATCAGCTGCATACAATAGTGAATTTACTCTAGGCCTACTACTTTCTGTTCATGTAAAACAAGGAAATCTTTTAATTATTGGACTTTATTCCAAGAGTACTCATGTTAAAGGCTCACACACCTTTCTCATATCCCTCCATCAGTGTGGTGATGACTGGCTCATACAACAACTTCTTCCGGATGTTCGACCGCGGCCAAAGGAGGGATGTAACTTTGGAGGCATCCCGAGAAAACAGCAAGCCCATGCAGGTCCTAAAGCCCCGCAAAGTGTGTGCAGGGGGCAAACGCAAGAAGGACGAAATCAGCGTGGACAGTTTGGACTTCAACAAGAAGATCCTTCACACTGCGTGGCATCCCCAGGACAACATCATCGCAGTGGCGACGACCAACAACCTCTACATATTCCAGGATAAAGTGAACTAACTACGGGGTGTCGTGAGATCTGGTGTGGGGGACTTTGTGTCCCACCTCGCAGCCTCATCCAGGGTGATCTGTGGTTAACGCCGACAACCAGCATCCCTGTCCGTCGCTACTGGGTGACCAGTCTTTGCCACTTTGTTCTAGATGTGGACAGAGGAAGCCTTGCTCTTGCCCATCATCAGCCCGTCAGTGGCAGAGTAACACCCGCCTTGCTGTTTAAGTGATGTTGTGCCAATTTCTTTCCCCCCCCCTTTGTTTTTCTTCTAATTTTTTTTTTTTGCCAGCTCACCTGCCCTTTTTGTCTGGGTTAACATGGGTAAACCAGTTTAGTTTCCTTAAAATTCTGAATACAGACACACTTATTTTTATAACTTTTCCCCAATGGCTCTGTGGTAGAAAATGAAAAACACTTATTTAGTATTTCCCCTTATTGTCCTGTGCCATCCTAGTGTTTATTTTTCTAAGAAAAAACCTTTTTTTGTGTGTGTATACACCTTTTTATTAATTCATCTGTTATACTGTCATAGTATTCTTTAAGTCTCTTCACATGTCCCCCCCCCCCCCCCCATTAAACCATGCATCCTGCAAACCCGTCACAAACGTATGCTCACAGTTTTCTTTACACACTTACTGCTTCATACTGGACAGCAACCCCTCCGCGGTTGCCTCCACGAGTTAGAAGTGCAGTGTGTGTTCACAGATTGGGAAGCCGGACCGCAGGCGAGGAGTTGTCCTTGCTCGCTCCGTCGCGTGCGTCAGGCTTGGGAGCGGCAATCAAGTCCAGACTCCAAAATATTTTTTTTACTTATTTTTTTTTTTTTGTTTGTTTTTGATTGGCTCTGTGTCTTGACATCTTCTTGTGCTTGGTTCCTCTCCTCCTTTTGTTTGTGTTCAACAATAGTCCAGTGTATAAGAGATAGCCTATTCAAAGATAATTATTATGATTGTCATATTTATATTAAAAA